CTTTGCTGATGGGGCCTTGCAAGCTGCGGCTGTGACCTGCAGAACTCCTTGTATTCTCCTTTTACAGCAATTACTCTCTGCAGCTCCCCTCCCCACAATGTGTTCCCTCCCCTTGCGTTAAAACATGTCCCGACTAGTCTGGCTGGTCCACGGGACTCGGAGCCCCTCAAAAGCAGATATATTGCTCATTATTTTGGATTGCCTAGGGGCCTGGCAACTGTGCCTGGCACATTTTGATGCTCCCATCCCCTCCCCTCCCCTCTCCTGTTTTGGCTTATATCCTCTGAAAGTTCTCATCTGAATTCTTTAAATATCATTGCTTCAAGTATCCACCCAGCTTTACAACAGCAATTTACCACTTTGATTCCTCACTCCACTTTGCTTCTGCTGTAGATTTATGTTCCCTTAAATTTCTAGGGCAAGTCAGAAAGGTGGAGAAGAAACATTGCAGACTTTGGAGTCACTAGCCAGCTATGTGGCAAGGGGCGTATTTAATCGCTATGAGCTTATGAGGCTCTCATTTCTAAGGAGAGAGTTGAGTTGGAGAGAAGGGAGGGAAGGGAAAGGGGAAGGAAGGAAAAGAAGGAAAGGGAAGAAAAAGAAAAAAGAAAGCAAGAATATCAGTCTTGTATGAATTTTAGAAACTGTTTTGTAGGAATTTTAGAAACTGTTTTGTAAGCTCTTGGCATTTAATTGTCATTTGTTAGTTAGCAGCCATCTGTTTGTGAATTCCTGAGTCTAAATGTCAATACTGTGAAGCCAAATAAAAGATACATCACATATTGAAATAAGAGAAGATGTGTCTTTGATTTTTTTTTGTCACCATGATGGTATTTGTGGGTGAATTTTTTTCTTCTTATTTAATCTCTTTGGAATTTTAATTTATAAAGTGAATCATGTTACATTTAGTTCTTACTGGCATTGGGATCAAACTTGGTAGATGCCTAATATTAGCAAGCAGCACTTTCAGTCATCAGATGAACACTCAAGTAAAGAGGGACAACCCTCATTAAACCTCTCTCACCCGCCAGGCCACCAGCACTAATACACTGTGGTGTAACCATCTGTATCTTAGCTTCTGCATATAGCTTCTTTATGTGAATTTTATTGGCCATTCTCCCTTTTTTCTTCCATCAAGCAAATATTAGTGAGGAATCATTAATAAGCAGACTTAAACATCTTGTAATCAAATAACAGGCCCTCAAAAAATTTAAAAGTGAATTATATTGAGTTGGGCAAAATGATCAATTATTGACCAGCATCCAGAGTGCAATGAAGGGGGGAAAAAGCCACTGTAGAGTTTGTAGGAAGCTTGTATTTCTAATTGTGCATGAAAATAGCAGAAAAAAAATCTTCTGATAGTATAAGATTGGAATTGAATTCTAGAGTTATTTAATAAAAGTATTATGAATAGAAACCATCATTACTAAAAAGCTTTCATTACTGAGTTAATCAATATGTGGTTCTGGTGAGATAATACAACAATCGTGTGAACTCAACATGCTTCCAGAAGGTTTAGGGTGGGGTGGAGATACCAAAAAGACTGATTAAAGTCTCAGTGATAGCCATGAGGGTGGTGATTTCCATTGGGAATCATTTGGTATCCTGGCTGCTTAGGCTAGCTCTGCTGGGCTTAGCTTCATCATCAGAGAATAGTCCTTTGGATTAGAATGTTTCCAGCTTTTACAGAGCTTTCATTTTGTAATAAATGGAGAGTCAAGACTGAAATTCAAAAAATTTCTGGCCCAATTACATTTAGTAATATGAGAAATTATGTTATTTCCCTTGGCTTTAAAAATTAGTCAAAGCTTACTTGGAATTTTAAAAATTCCCCCTTTTTGTTTGATTTTGTTTCCCTCTTCATTTATGGGTTGGCCGTTATGTTCAATATCAGTTCCTTTCTATAAATATTAAAAGTGACAATTTATGTTTGACAATTTCCATACTAATGGGTAACCACAGCTCTAAACTTTATTAACCCAATGCAGAAATTCATAACGTTCTGTTCTGAGGTCGACACTTACTCATTATACTAAGTTATGTCCCATCTGCACTATTTCTTAGTACAGAGACATAGCCTTTGAGATTAAGTTTCCCTGAGTCTGAATCTTGGACAATTCACTTACTAACCAAGTGGCATTAATCTCCCTGACTCTCAGTTTTATAATCTGTAAATGGGGATAAATATAAAGTCCTAGAGATGGATATTTCCATATAAATAAAATGACATAATGTAAGTAAAATGTTATGTGTGGTACATAATAAGCAGCTGTTACTATAATTTAAAGATTTTCTCTTTGTCTTTGGTTTGCTGCAGTTTGAATATATGACTAGGTAGAGACTTTTGATATTTATCCTGCTTTGTGTCTATGAACTTCCTGGATTTGTGGTTTGGTTTCTATAATTAATTTAGGAAAATTCTCAGCAATTGTTACTTCAATGATTTGTTTCTGTTTCTTTCTCTCTTTTTTTCTCCTGGTATTCCCACTATTTATATTATACCTTTTGTAATTGTCTCACAGTCAAATTAAATTGTTATTTAAAGATCTGGGAAGCAATGCATAAGAAATGTCAGAACAAACAGAAAGTATGGCAGAGTTGAAGGACAGTAAGGGCTAAAGTACTGAGTGGATTCAGCCAAGAAGAGGCCAGCAGGGGCATTTTGGGGGGCAGTGTCGACAGAGCATTGAGGGAGGAAGGCAGGCTACAGTGGAACACACAATTCTCTTTTATCTGTAGGCAACTAAACTTGAGTGGCCACACAGAAAAGAATACATTGGCTCATTCATGCAGTCTGCTGGTTGTTAGAGTGCCATATCTTTAAGACATGGGTAAGAGGGGTGACATCAAGAAACTAAATAATTTAAGCCGTAGATCTGAAGCAAAAAGATTGGCAAGCTCCAAAAAATACTCATTTGACCCTATCCAAAAAAATCACTCATCATCTTTTTAAACATCCCCCACCCAATTTCACTCATGCCAATATCCTACCAGATTGGAAACTAGATAAACACCAGCACCCTAAAACACTCCTTTCTAAGCATCTCTATGATTGATCAAATAATGATTGGGGATGCATGTCTTCATCAGCACTGGGGCCATTCCAGTCCTGCTTTGCCTGGCCCAGAGTGGGAGGGCACCTGAGACTGGATTTTATGCCTTTTCAGAGTGCATGGCATAGAATAGTGGACTGCAAACTCATTAGTCAACAGAGCCAAATATCAATAGGACAACGATTGAAATTCCTTTGGAGAGCCAAATTTTTTAAACTTAAAACTTCTAATGCCACTTCTTCAAAATAGACTCGCCCAGGCCATGGTATTTTGTGGAGGAGCCACACCAAGGGACCAAAGAGCCGCATGTGGCTCACGAGCCACAGTTTGCCGACCACGGGCATAGAACACAGGCTTCCCAGCCACAGCATGAGTTGCCCAAAGAGAAGTTGTATGGGAAGTGCTCCTCAGTTCCCACTGAACCAGTGTGGAGAATTAATGGCAAGCCAGGGCACTTAGAATTGAACGTTCACCCACGATGACCTGGCAAGCCAGCCCCCCTGCATGCTTCCTTTCACTGTCTTATTTCAGCGAGAAGGTTGTCCTTATAACCTGAAGGCCTGGAAACATTTTAAAACCTGGATTGGCCTATTCCTGGAGACTAGTAATGAACCTACTGGGATAACATCAATCTGCAGGGTTCCCCCAGCACTGAAGACATATTTCATCCTATAATTGAAAAATAGATTTGATTTATATTCCATTGTGTCAGAGCTTACACTTAGGTCTCTCAGTGGAGTGGTCTGGGCAACAGGGAGATGGTCTAGTTTTGAAAAAAGATACTCTATAGACACCTGTGAAGAACACTGCAGAAATGGAGCTAGAGTGATGTCTGAAAAGGGATTCTGAGGCCTCTTTGTAAATTCTGGGGTGGAATTGAGGGGTGTGAGGTATGGAGAGCCCAGATGAGTGGTCTCCCATCCTGGACTAGCATTTACTGAGTCCCACTATATGTCAGATACTTGACATGAGTTCACTGAATCCCCTCCACATCCCCGAGACTGGGTATCTGTTTTGAAGAAGAGTAAAGAAAATCCAGAAAGATGGACACCGTAGCTGTCATATAAATGAATGAGTGGTGATTTGAACTTGAACCTAAGTCTGTCTCACTCTGAGACTACGTCCTTTGCTGCGCTCCACAAGAAACCCAGCCCGCTGTCTCTAAACAGATGCCTGTTGTCTTATCGGTTGAGTATATCAAAACGTGATGTTTCTTCTATTGATAGAAGATCACAGTATACAAAAAAATAACCCAAGAGGACATGCCATTGACTCAGGCAGTGACACTTAGGACATTTTCCTATCGAGTTTGCGTTTCTGAACTGTTAGCATTCTTTTTCTTATTTTTTCTTAGGGAATGCCTAGAAATCACATGCCTCTTGTTAGGGCTACCTTAGGAAGTCCTAGTGACAATGGGAAGCCCTCATATACCAGCAAACCCTGGGCATTTAGCCCTCTAGTGCAGAGGTGGGCAAACTTTCTCTGTAAAGGGCCTGACAGTCCATGTTTTAGGGGTTATGAGTCAGGTGGTCTCTGTCCCAACTACTCAACAGTGCTGTTGAAGCCCCAAAGCTGCCATGGACAATACAGAAATGGAGTGTGGCTGTGTGCCAGTCAAACTACTTATGGAGACAAGTTGGAATTTTATATAGTTTTCACTTGTCACAAAATATTACTCTTGTTTTGAATTTTTTGAATTAAAAAATTTAAAAAGCATCCTTAGCTCCTAGGCTGTACAAAAGCAGGTGGACCCATGTTTGCCGTTCCCTGCTGTTTAGGATCACACCCTCTTTTATTTTTTTCGTATATGTTCAATAGTTTACTTTAAGAAAGTTTACAAAATAGAGAAAATCCATTGATAGATAATTAGTGAGAACTACTGAGCTTAATGACATTTTAAATCATATTAATACCAGTTTTTGGTTACTGGGGTGGCTCATAAAAAACAAAGTTCTGGGAGATCCTGGACCAGCACGTGCTGACTGCTCCTGCTAGGCTGCACCCCGAAGGTTTTAAAACATGAATCCTTCTCTCTTCTTCATTGCCCTTTACTAAAGCTTCAGATGCTCCAAAACTTGATGGAAGTTTAGAGGCACAATAGCACCGAGGGAAGGCAACACACAGTAAGCTACCTGGCTCGAATGAAGAAGGACGAAGGAGTACAGTGCGGGAGACGAATATGAAAATGATTGACCTGCACAACCAAGAATACAACCTAGGGAGACAGAGCTTCACCTTGGCAATGAACGCTTTTGGTGACATGACCAACCAAGAACTCATGCAGGTGATGAATGGCCATCAAAACCAGAGAAGCACAAGAAGAAAAGAGTGCTCTGGGAACCTTATGCTGCTGAAATCCCCCCAACTGTGAATTGGAGAGCAGAAGGCTATGTAACTCCCATGAAGAACTAGGGTCACGGTGGTTCTTGTCGGGCATTTAGTGCAACCAATGCCCTTGAAGGGCAGATGTTCCGGAAAACTGGCAAACTTATCTCATTGAGGGAACAGAACTTTATGGACTGCTCTCAGGCTCAAGGCAATGAAGGTTGCAATGGTGGCCTAATGGATAATGCCTGTATTAAGTCCAACAGAGGCCTGCCCTCAGAGGAGTCCTATCCATATAATCCAAAGGTTGGACCCTGCAAATACAGGTCCAAAGATTCTGTTGCCAATGACACTGGCTTCATGAACATACCTGAGCAGGAGAGTGCCTTCATGAAGGCAGTGGCAATGGTGGGGCCCATCTTTGTTGCTATAGATGCAAGCCATCCTAGCTTCCAGTTCTATGAAGGTGGCATTTATTATGAGCAGCACTGCAGCAGCATAGATCTAGATCATGGCATTCTGGTGGTTGGCTATGGCTTTGAAGGAGAAGAATCAAGTAACAATAAATACTGGATTGTCAAGAACATTTGGGTAAAGCTTGGGGCAAGAACAGCTACAGAAAGATGGCCAAAGGCCGGAACAACCACTGTGGAATCGCCACCGCGGCCAGCTCTCCTCCTGTGTGAGATGATGCTGATAAAGAAAGCACCGATTGAGAACAGGCTATCCAGAGGAAGAACTTTTATCTGAAAACTGACCACATTTTTCTTAATGGGATACAACACTTGAATCTTGACGATCCAAACTGTGATTTGAATGCTGTGATGTTTTACATTGGTAAAATGTTACCACTTCTTTTATAAGGATGCATAATTTGTTACCTTTTAAAATAAAAGAATTTTTATTATTATTTTAAAAAAACAAAGTTCTATATTTCTTTAAAAAACTTTTTCATTGAAATTTTTATTGTGATAATTGTAAATTCACGTGCAGTTGTAAGTAACACAAAGAAACCCCTTGTATCCTTTGCTTAATTTCCCTCTATGGTTACAGTTGCAAAACCATAGCATAATATCAAAAGCAGGAAGTAGACATTAATATAACTTACCAAGTTATTTAGATTTCCCCAGTTTTACTTGTATTGGTGTGTGCATATATGTATTTAGCTCTGTGCAATTCTGTCACATATGCAAATTTGTCTATCTTCCACCAGGATGAAGATATTAAGAGTTCCATCATCGCTAGGATTCCTTGTGTTATCCTTTCATAACTACACCCACCTCTCTCTTTTCCTCCCACCCATAACCCTGATAACCACTAATCTGTTCTTTATTTCTAAAATATTATTTCAAGAATTTTATATAAATGGAATCATACAGCATGTAACATTTGGGAATTGGCTTGCTTGGCTCAGAATAATTCCCTGGAGATTCCTCCAGTTTGTTGAATGTATCAATAATTCATCCCCTTTTATTGCTATGTAGTATTCCATGGTATGGATGTACCACAGCTTGTTTAACCCTATATGCATTGAAGGACATTTGTGTTCTTTCTAGGTTTAGGCTAACATGAATACTAGTGAAGCTTTTATAAATGTTTATGTACAGGTATTTGTGTATTTCATTTCTCTGGGAGAAATGTCTAAGAGTGCAGTTTCTGGGCTATCTGATAATGTCATAATTATAACTTTTTAAAATGCCTTTGGGCATATTTCAAAATAATCATTTTTAACATTATTACAAAAATACCTGGTATTGAATGATGCCAGGGTAAAGGCCCTTTAAAAATTTCCTGCCATCACACATTTTCATTTTACAGGACCAGGAACTCCAGACTGCGGACCTTAACTGACTGGAAAGGGTGACAAGCTACATAATGGTCAGTGAGGAGTAAGCAAACACAAGAAATCACTTCTTCTGTCTCGCCATTTTATGCTCTCATACCCTCACACTGCACCAGTAATATTACAGATGGAAACAGTGAATGACAGGGTGTTTCTCATCACGAAAGAAGGGACATGATTTACTTGACTCTTAGGGACATTATGAGCTCACTTCCAACCATATGTCCTTTGCCTCAGCTTCCCTCCATGGGGTCTGTGTGGCTTCTCCGCTCATAACTTGAACTGCCTTGTGGCACTGGCAAATGATCAGGGACGGCCAAGTGCAAATATGCAAACGATGTTTAATAATTCTCCCAGGTGTGTATGGGAACCAGAAACTCCAAAGGTCTGTGACGACAGCAAACTAAGCCTTTTCATCAGGCCTCCAGGAGCTGTGCACCTGTATGGTTAACAAGCTGATTATACTGACCACAGAGGGTTGAACCAGTTTTGATATGTTACAACTCCTCAAATCGAAAGCCTTACCAGATGAGTTCTGAGGTCAGGAACAGCCCACAGAATAACTTATTTCAATTCTGCATTAGCCTGGGTAATTGCTTTTCAGTCCCCTGGCATTGGCCTTCCCAGCCCCTTTTACCCTCTCCTGAGTCTCAAGGCACTGCAATAGTGCACCCACGTCTGACAATGCTTCTGCTCCACATAGGCTCTGAGGCCAGCAGCAGCAGCGCCGGCACACTTGTTAGAAATGCAGACTCCCAGGCCCGAGACCAGGAGAATCAGAATTTGTGCAGGTGGGACCCAGCCACCTGGTTCCTCGCTATCTCTTACCTGGAGATTCTGAAGCTTAATAAAGCTTGAGCAATGCCCTCTTCAGAACTCGTTTAGGTATTATAGATAATGGAAATGGAAACCATAGCTTGCAAAGAAGTTGAAAAAGAACAGCTAACAAAACCGTTCGGCCCTTTTCTGTCCATTACACAGTCTTTATGAGGTCAATATTGATATAAGCATAAGCCAGAGTTGTTATTTCTGACATTCAACAGATCATAGCTTTCTTCACACTTGCTATATTTAAGTTATGTTTCTAATGAAAATGTGGAGTTTGTGCTTCTACTTAGCACCTATTTAAAATTCTTTATCAAACTGTAATTTCCTTGAGGGCAGGAGACGTGTGTCTCCATAGGCTAATAAATAGGTACCTAATAAATGGTGGCTGAACAAACGAATGGCTTGTGTTTCATATTAGAGTTGCTTCGTCCTCTCTTAAACTGTGCATGCTAAGATTGTATGAGATGCTGAATTCTTCACAATATTCTGACTATCCTTACGTATCCAGCATATTTCCCTGAACACAGTGAGTTCATAAAAGTTGTTGAATGAACAGTGAATAATAACAACCAACTAAATTGCATCTTTGATGCTACTGTATAGACTCCAAATGATTTTACTCTGAACACTATTTTCTTGTGCATGTGGAAAAACTAATTTCATATATGCCACTTTGAATACTGCTTACCAAACATCATTACCTACAAAATGGAACTTGAGAGCATGTTCAGAGAGGCTGTGGAGAAACAAAGATAGCTACGACCAAGGTACCATCTTTCAGACAGGGCCTGCGTGGCACAATAAAGGAGAGAGGAGACAATGGCTATCCAGCCAGCTGAGCTAGCAAGACCAGCTTCTGTTTCTACCACAGTTTTTCTAGTAGAAAAACAAATGATGGTCTCACCAGAGGGTCCAAATTCTAGCACTAAGACAGGGCTGTCTCAGCCCTTTGATGCTGAGCTCTTAGGTTTTCCTGCCTCGTTGGTTATTCTGTAAGACTGGGAATAATTGACACCTCCATGGCAAGGTGTGATGACAAATAAGCACTCTTGGAGGATCAGGTGTGTTTGAAGGAAAAAAAAAATATTTACTCAAGGCTCTCAGTTATCCTAGCAAGGAAGATCCGTGCTCTTTAATTTTCAGATAGCTCTTTGAAGGACAGGAAATTGTAAGTGCTGTCCTCAGTGGTCTTTGTTCTAAAACACTACAGAGAAATAGTTTTGTAATCTACCCTTTCAGTAAAACAAGCAAATAAATCATTCATCTGTGCCTCGGAATCTAAGAGGAGGATAAGTAAAATGAAGTGTTTATGGTTAAGTAGACTCCAGCAATGAAATTCTTTGAAAAACTTACAATTATTAATAATCTCAGGATGACTTCAACTTGGTTTCCTTTTCCATCAAAAGACCATTTCCTTACACACACACACACACACACACACACACACACACACACACACAAAGAACATTTCCTTGAGAGTGACAGGAAGAGGAGATGGTAGCGGATGTTAATTTCTTTCATTCATTATCGTTGCTCTTTTTGCTTATTTATAGAAATAGAACTTTGTTGTTGATTAGGGTTTCTGCCCTCTTGAAACGTGTCTTCGGGACATGTGTCTTTTTAAAAGGACTAACATGTTTCTGACCCAAGAAGAAATACAAAACCAGTCTGGATAAAACACCATCTTCCAAACAAATTTTAACTTTGTACTTAATTTGTTCAAGCATTTCAGAGAAATTGTCTCCAGGCAAAATTCTTAAAAACTCGTTTTGAGCCAACATACATTACCATTGCTTGCAATTGCTGAATATTTTAGTAGCATTAGTTCAAATTTACTTGAGCAATGTTTTATATGCGAAGCTTTAGGTCGATCTAGTCTCAGAAAGATTCTTTAAGGTATAAAGCTGTCCAGTGTGAAATGAATGGACAGGGTGATAGGGAATGAATGTCCACCTTCAGCTCTGGCAGGGCACTGTCTCGACATGCTATGTTAACAAAGAGATCCTAAGTCCTGCCTAAGCTCACAGACCTCTGAAGGAAGTCTAAACCATTCTCAGTGATTTGGAATAAAAGCAGTATTAAGCAACAGATTCAGAAGCTTTTCAGTGGGTACCTTCTTCCCAAAAGCGCTGTGTTCTGTATGATTTGTCCTTCAGAGCGGCAGTTCTATAGCTCACGTGTTCATCAAACATTAGACCACCAGTCTCAAGAAACCTAGTGGGGTGATACTGGCCAGCATTTGTTGAGCAGATACTCTATGCGAGAATACTACACACACATCTTCTAATTCAGTCTTATCAAATGCCTCTGGCGGGCGTGCGGTGAAAGAAATGAAGGTCAGGGACTTCAGTGTTAAGATCAGGAAATGCAGCTGGCAAGTGACATGGCAGAAATTCTACTTTAGCTTTGTGTAGCTCAAATGTTTGTTCTCCTGATGCCTATACCATTTGTATTTCCTTAAACATCATTCAACAGCTAGTGATGGGGGCTGTGGAAAATGAAGGATTGTAAAATCAAACTGAGTTCTTTTCTACATCTTTCTTAGCTGGGATGGGAAGCAACACCACACACACACACATACACACACACACACACATTAGTTTTAGTTTTATTTGGGTTTATTTATGGGGGAACAATTAATATCATGTGAGCATATATGTGTGTGTGTGTGTGTGTGTGTGAGAGAGAGAGAGAGAGAGAGAGAGAGAGAGAGAGAGAGAGAGAGAGAGAGACTATATAGAAAAAGTTGCAAGATCACTCATCTACTCTTTTCAACAAATTATTGTAAATGAAATGAATTTGTGCTGTAATTTATCTCCCTTGCTCACATTCTCTCCATGTGTGACATATAGAACACTGCATTCTTCTTTCAAACACTGCTTTGTAGCTGTTACTCCATGCAATGGTCTCAAATTTCTCCGTCCCGTATTTTTCTCTTCCCAGTCATGAGGCACTGGGTGTGCTTCCCTCACCCCCCTAATTGCTTCCCTTTGGTACACACTCATTTCCTTATTTGGAACCCAGAGAGAGTAAGAAAAAAAAAATAGATGTTATGTGGGAAGAAATCATTATAACCTAACATTTCCACATTTGTTTTGTCTGGTTTCTAGGAGTTCTCATTTAGTCCTTGTCTTAATTTTTTGGGAAAATTTCAGGAATTCTCATAATTCTCAAATGATCATCTCCCAACAT